CCCAAAGTCCGTGCCCAGCCCCATCCATTCCCCCCCCACTCCACCCACAGCACCCACCCCGGGCACCCCTCTCCTCCCCACCGGCAGACAAAGGGAGCCCCACCACCCACAGTGGAAGGAGGGGGGGAGCAACACCCACACCCCAACGCGTGTGCTACGACCCCGGCGAGGCCCTCAGAGCCGCGGGGGGTGTCGCGCGTTGGGACCGACCCCGCCCGCGCCCCCATCATGGGGGGGTGTGGTGGGGGGTCGAACTACAACTCCCGGCAGGCCCCGCGCGGGGGGCCCGTGAGGGGCGGGGGTGTGTGAGTGACTGAGGGGTGGGCGCGAGCCCCCTCAGCCCCCATTCCCCGCGGCGGGCGGCACGTGCCGGCGCGCTCGGCCAATCGGGGCGGGGCGGGGCGGGTCACGTGCCTTTGTTTGGCGCTTTAGAGCGCGGCGGGGCGGGCGCGGGCGGAGTGTGGCCGGAGCGGCGCTGCGGGCAGGTGGGTGCGGAGCGGAGCGGGGCTGTTCTGTTCTTTTCTGTTCTGTCGCGAGGGGAAGGGTGGCAGAGCAGAGACCGCTTAGGGACGGCCCGAGCCGCGAGGTGCGCCCGCGGCGCCCTTCCGCGCCTTTGAGAGTGTTTATATAGTGCGCGTGTATTTTTGTATGTGTGTGTGTGTGTGTGGATGCGTTACGGGGTCCGCTGCCCCGCTGGGGCGGGCGGGCGGCGGAGGGTGTTCTGAAGGTGGGTGTCAGGGTGAGCTGCAGGGCGGGATCCGCGGGCGCTCGGTGTGTGTGTGTGGGGGGGTCGCTTTTGTCCCCCTCCCTCCCCCGACTCGCGGGCATCGCGTCACCACCCGCCTTTTGGGGCGTCGCGGTGACAAAGGGAAGGGAGACAATGGGGGAATGGGGGGGGGATGTGCCTATAACGTGTGTCCCCGCGCCCCGATCGCTGAGGGGGAAGGGGGTGCCTATTGTCCCTCAGCGAGGGGCGACGCCCTACCCGCGGCGGCAGCGGCGGCGCCCCCTCCCCTCCCCGCCATTGTTAGTGGGGAAGGGGCGGTGTCCGGGCGGCCGCGCCGCGACGCCATCGAGCCGGGGGGGACCCTCTTCGAGCCCCTTGTGGCCGTGTCGTGTCCCCGCCTCGCCCCCCTCCGTCCCTTTGGCCCCGGAGGGGGCTGAGGCGGTGTGGGGGGGTGAAGGGGCGGGGGGCGGCCCCACACCTGAGGCGGGGGGCGGCAGGTGCCCGGATGTTGCCGCTGGCCCCGCCCCTCCTCCCTCGAGCCCCCTCGCGCGGGCGCGCGCGCGCGCGCGCTCTCCCCGGCCGTTTGAATTCGGAGCGGCCGGGCGGGAGGGGGCGTGGCCTCCGCCGCCGCCTCGGCGCTGATTGGCCGGCGGCGCTCGGTGGGCGGGGCCGAGGGGGGTGTGCGCGGTCCTAGCGCCGCCCGATCGCTGCCCCGTCCCCTCCGCGTTTTCATGGCTTGAAACCCACCCCACCCCCAAAAAAAAAACCCTCTTCTGACGGTTTTTACACCCTTTACTGGCGTATTTTATGCCGTTTTGACGAGGCGTTTGTGCGCTGCGTGTGCGCCCTCGCTGCCTCGCGCGCCTTGACTTCGGCTGCGCAATTAAAATAGAATTTTAAATGAGGCTTGATTGCGCACATTTCGCATCCTTCGGGAGCAGCGGGAATTCTGCCTGTGCTGTCCTGTTGTGCGCCATGTTTTAATTCAGATGGCTCTACCTGTGTGTGACAGCAGTGAAATGTTCCACAGCACTCAGTAAAACTGAGCCTTTGTTTGAGCGTCTTAATTACGGCGGAGTAAAACAGAGATTGAAGGTGCTCGAACAACACCCATAATCCAGAACCTCTCTGCTGTTCCTAGCAATGTACATCAGCCTCATCCCCACAGACTGTGTGGAATCACTGACTGCAGTACCCTACCTGACTGCCTTTTGTTCAGCAGGTCTTACTATGCTTAGCAGATTTTATTAGAAGGAAAATAATCCGTGTGCTTGCTGTTCAAAGGCACATCTCTTTGTTATCCAGGAATCCGCCTGACTGACCTTCTCCCAAGGGTTGGCTTCTGGAATCTTATTTTCTTGGTCATGGCTACTTCTGGTATGTAGTATTATGTGCTAAATGCTCTTGGTTTTTTTATTTTATTTTTTTAAATATTTTTTTTTTCTTCTTAATTTCCAGAGAAATCACTTAAAAATCTAGTCTAGTAAAATAAACTGTCCTTACCCTCTCCCCTTGCTTTTCTGGCATCTCTGGGCTGCTTGGGTGAAGCTGCTGGAACTGGGTGGTTGTGAAAACACCCCAAAAAAGCCTCCTCAGATGAGAGTGTCAGCAGATGGGCTCCAGCTCCCTGCAGCCATCTGCTCCCTCGGCAGAGCTGGCTGTCAGCAAGACGTCTTGGGGATCCAAACGGGTGCAGCTGACACTGGGCAGGGCTGACGTGCCCCTGGGAGGGTTTGGAGACCCAACCCTGCTTCTAAATTTCCTTGAAAACTCCCTCTTCTTCTTGGCTTTACCAGGTTTCAGGCAGACACCTGGAAACTTGTCGTTGGAGAAATGATGATTTTTTTTTTTTTAATTTGAAGTACTGGTAGTTTATTTTTTCCCCACAATTCTGGATATTAAAGGCTAAAACAGAATGCCAGGTGTCTGGGTGATGTAGTATCAGGAGAGAATCGCAATAAAAATTGCAATATTTTTGAATGCTCTTGCTGTGCTTAAGACAAAGCTGTTGCCTTGGATGCCTTCTCCTCCAGTGAGCTTTGTGGCAGGGAATTTTTAAAGGCTTTTAAGCCAGTCACTGGCTTAAAAATGCTCTTTTTTTGGCTTTTTTCCCCCCCTTTCCTAGACATCCAAGTGAAGGAGCTGGAGAAGCGAGCCTCTGGGCAGGCCTTTGAGCTGATTCTCAGCCCCCGCTCGAAAGAAGCCGTTCCAGAATTCCCTCTTTCTCCCCCAAAGAAGAAGGATGTGTCACTGGAGGAGATTCAGAAGAAGTTGGAAGCAGCAGAAGAGAGACGTAAGGTAAATGTGGGGCAGCCCAAGTGAGCTCTGCTCTGCCAGCCTGGGCAAGTTATGAGTTTTGGGGGGTTTTTTTTGGTTTTTAATGGTTTGGGAGAAGTGATCAGCAGTTTGTGTTACGATAAATGGAATATTAACTGAGCTCTGTTGGAATCCCTGGGGCTCTTATGAACCTTTCTCATGGTGGGGAAAGCCCTGGCTTTATTTCCAAAGTGATTTTTGAGCTGTCACTTGAATTAAAACAGGGGGGGAAAAGGTTTAGTTGAGAGGGGCAGCTCTTTCAGGAAGGAGCTGCTTTTCTTGTCTTTTAGCACCAGAACACATTAATTTTCCCCTGGAAAATGTAGTGGTGAATCTGTAATGAGCAGTTTGTTAATGCAGTGTCTGACTGATGGAAGATCTGGCTGTTGGTGTAGCCTGGAGCCCTTGATGGTGCCGAGGCTTTGACTGGAGTGAGCCTGACCTAAATCTCAGTGATTCATCCGTTCTGTGAAAGGAGAATCTTCAAGGAAAGTTCCATAAAAAAAAAAAAAAAAGAAATCCAAGTTCTCTTTCCAGAATAATCCCACTTAGCAAGACTTGCAGGTGGTGACAGAAACTGAACCTCCCAGGTAGCTTGTGATGGTGAAGTGCAGGTTCTGTGGGTAGGGAGGGGAGCCCCGGGGATCTCTGTCCTGCAGCTGTTCTGCAGTGAAAAAAGGGTCAGAAAACGTGTCCTCTGAGGAGCTGGGAGCAACTGTGACTGCCTGTGTGTGTGTGTGGTTCCTCAACACCTGCACCCTCTGCTTTGCCAGTCCCACGAAGCAGAAGTGTTGAAGCAGCTGGCGGAGAAGCGGGAGCACGAGAAGGAGGTGCTGCAGAAAGCCATCGAGGAGAACAACAACTTCAGCAAAATGGCAGAGGAGAAGCTGACCCACAAAATGGAAGCCAACAAGGAGAACCGTGAGGCACAAATGGCTGCCAAGCTGGAGCGCTTGCGGGAGAAGGTGGGTGTGTGTGTGGGGGGGGACCCCTTGGAAAGGGGGGAGTTATCCCCGCTCCCTGCTTGGAAAACTGGCTGAAAACTCCGAAGGAATGGCCATGTGAAGGGGGTGCTGCAAATAGGTGGATGTCCTTGGGAGCGCTGTGACCTTCAGGGGTTCTTAAACCTGCAGAAGGGTTTGTAGAAACGCAGCTCTTTTTGGGGGTGGGAGGGGTGGGAGTGAGTTAGGGCAGTGTTTTGCTTTCTCCCCTAAAGCTCCACCCTGTACCCTCCTGGGTGAGCCACCTCAGGGTTCCTACTGTGAGCTGGGGGTGGGAAGCTCCGTGCCTTTCCCGGGATCCATGCCTTTCCTGGGATCTAACAGCTGCCTGCTGCTGTCTTTCAGGACAAGCACGTGGAAGAGGTTCGAAAGAACAAAGAAGGCAAAGACCCCGGTGAGGCCGAAACCGACTGATCTCATTCTGGAAACTGACTCTCCCCCTCCTCTAAATATCCAAAGACTGTACTGGCCAGTGGTTTTATCTTTGGTTCTTGGTTCGGTTATATATATATTTTTTTTTTTAAGTTTCTAGAAAACTGATGTAGAACTGTAAAATTAGATCCAAACTGTACACTTGCTTTGGGGGCTAGAGGGGAGAACCTTCCATGTGTCACTTTTCTAAAAGTGTTGTCTTTCCAGTGTAGCTTTTCTTCTTGTTGCATCCTTTTCTACGCCAGTGCTCTCGCTCCTGGGTTGATGGCGAGTACTGTATCAGCTTAAGACCTTTGTGAAAGGAATCTGTAGTAACTGTTCCATGCTGAATATCTGTTACACTTCAAGAGAAAAAAAAAAATATCTGACTCTGTCCCAGTCTGCTAAAATACTGCTGTAACTGAGTGACTCAATAAAGCTGCACAGTGCTGTTACTCCCGAGAGTTATTTCCTAAGGGACAAAAACCATCCGAGGGCCGCAGTGGGAATCCTCACCCCGGTGGGAAGGTCTGGAGCAGCACATTTCCTTGCTCCCCAGAGCACAGCATTGTCCTAGCTGGACAATCAGAGCTTTGTTTTGACACCTCAGCAGTTGTCAGCTGTCGGGTGTTTTTGTTCAGAGGGTTCAGAGCCACCTCCCGGGGGCTGTGACGCCCCAACAAACGGCCCTTGTTACCACATGACTGGCCTGAGCCTGGTTTTGGGAAGGGTTTCTGTGCTGCTGAATGGCGACTTGTGTGCTGCATCCTGCAGCGTCAGAGGGGGAGAGTCAGGAACCTGTGTTGGTGCTGGGATAAGTCAGCTGGACCTCCTCCAAAGTGCCGTTTGTGGACAAGAATTGTTTTTGTTTTGGTGTCACATCTGTGTTGGGATAGAACACCAAGGTTAACTCCTGCCCACAGCCAGAGCTGTTGATGATTTTGGGTTTTTTTTTAGGTGGATTGGGTACAAAATTGCTGTACTGTACCCCAAATCCTACCCCTAAGGACACCCCACAGGTGCTTGTGCTGCCCTCAGCAGAGCCAGGGCTGCAGCTGAGGGGTGAGCAGGCACCCAATTTCTCAGCACCAACATTCCAGAACTGTCAGCTTAGAGGGTGCTGGGGATTTCACAGCCTCGCTGTGACACTCGTGGCTCTGGCCTGGCTGAGTCTTTGCTCAGTCCTGGCTTTCTCTGTACCCCTGATCCTGAGCCTTTTGGTTCCCAGGTTTTGCTTTCAGGTTTAACTCCACACCTGGAGCATCTGGAGCGGCCCAGCTTTCCAAGGATGGAAAAAGCTGGTGGGGGAACTGGTTTCCTAAGGGGCTTAAAGGAGTCCTGGTCACTGGATTAAGAAGAAGCCCTCAGTTTAGGGAGCTTTCCTGTTTCCCACCGGGCACTTCGACTGCACCTGAGCTGCACTGAACCCACGGAGGAGCAGTGAGGTACAGCCCAGCCCCACGTGCTGGAAGGTTGGAGCGGCTGCTCTCCCCGAAGGAATTCCAGAGGATGTTTTGAAGCTCCTACACAGTCAGAGGTGAGTGAGTCTGTGCTGCTCCCTGGTGGGGAGCGACTGCCCGGCCGCGGGGTGGGGACACGGGGCGGGTCTGGGGCTTTGAGTGGGTCATGTCAACACTGGGTAGGCTGAGGGCGCAGGGATGGGGTCAGGATTTGTCCAGGGGAAATGAGGGCAGGAAAACACAGAGCTGAACTTTGAGACGAGGCCTGATAGTGTGCTCGGAAGAGGAGCTGAATCCCTGGTATTGTGTAATGGAGGCTGGAGGGACCCCTGGATCAGAGCCCCGTGTACAGGATGAGGCACAACCAACCATCAAAAAAAAACCCAAAACAAAACCCAGATCTTCATTTTAATGTATTTATTTACCTGCTGAGAACAGACCAAGTGTCCCGAAATACCGTGTGGGGCTTTATCTCCTGTCTCTCTCCTGCGGTGGGGGAGGAGGATGGCAGAGCTGCCAAACCCCAAATGGCGTTAGAGCCCAAAAAGACGATAAACGCGGTTTGCTGGCTTGTCAGGGCTGTCAGATCTCGGCGCGGGGCCTTCTGTTCCCTCCTCTTCCTTCTGCTTTGCGTGTCTGCCGTTGTTTGTGCTTAACTGGGGCTGCTTCCCCCGAGTGCTGCTGGCGGGGAGAATTTAGGGGGGGGGTGGGAGTAGTGAGAGCAGGTTAAGGGAGGGGAACTATCCAGGGTGATGGTCGGGCAGGAAAACAGGAATCAGGGGGAGATGGAAACAGGTTCTTTGAAAATAAAGGACAAAAAGAAGGCTGCACAGCTTCTTTCCACCCCGCGCAGGGAGGGGCGATGGGGAGCCGTGCTGGGGGGGCGCGAAGGGCACCGGGGGGGTGGGGAGAGCAGGTTCGGAGCAGCTCGTAGGGGTTGCGGGAGGAAGGATGGGACCCCTGGGTTGACCGCCCCCCCTTTTCGCCCTCCGATGCGGGCGGGAGGAGCCGCGGGGCCAAGGAAGCGAAGGAAGCGGCGGGGCCGGAGCGGGGCGGGCCCGGGGGAGCGGGGCGGAGGCGGCGGAGGCTCAGCCCGACCCGGAGGGGTCCGCTCTGCAGGTGCCGGGGCGGGGATGGGGGTCCCGGGGAGGGGAAGGGTCCCAGAGCGCTGCCAATCCTCGTGTCCAAGCGCGTCCGCTCCCTGGAGCATCCCCGCGCTCCGGGGAGGGGGGAAATCCCAGGGGAGGGAGAACCATCCCTCGGCTCCCGGGTTTTGGCAGCTGCGTTGCGGGGGGGGGCTCCGATGTATCAGGGGCTGGGTGAGCCGAGGTAGAAAAAAAAAAAACCATCCCAAATTAAAAAAAGGAGAAAGATATTTATGCCTTAGGAGGGTAGATCCCGCTGTGTGGTGGGAGCAAACAGGGATGTAAACAGCCGCGGGCACGAGGCTCTATCATCACAGAAAAATTCGGCAGGATGGGTGGATGCTGCTGGAGAAAGGAAATGCTTCGGAGGAAGCAGCAGGCGTTTGAGGCAGCGTTATTGACAGCTCGTGGGGATGTGGAGGCTGTTATTTGGAGTACCAGGCAGGTGAAAGATTTCCAAGATGCGCTCCGTTCCTAACGGAGCTTTGCTCAAGGGTTGATAGCTGGGAAGAGCTTGGCAAATGCAGCCCTGCTCTGACAAGTTTTGGAGGAGCTGGGGTAAACACCACTCCCTTTCCTGCCTCGTGCTTGGCTGCTCTTCTGCTTCTTTTGCCACAGCATCTCCCTGAGCAAACCAGGGGTGCCTTTCCCACAGGAATTTCTCTTCTGGAAGCCGAAAGGAGCTGAGCCCCTTCCCCTCTACCTGAATATCCCTGTGAGCAGCAGCAGCAGCAGCCCTGGCATAGAGGCAAGTTCTCTGGGCAGCGTTTTCCTCTGAACTGCCCATTGTATTTTGGTTGAAACAACTTAATTTGGGAAGTTCTGCTTTCGCCCTCATCTCTGTGGTGCTGGGACCCGAGGCTGCTTCAGTTCAGCGCAGGAGCTGCGAGTCCAGAGGAGGTTTGTGAAGTTAATTTTTCACTGGCAGCCAGAGTGTGCCGCAGCATTGCAGGGGGGTTTAGGAGGCCAGGCAGGGGTCAGGACTGCTCTCTGTGAGCTGCTGCCCCAGCCAGGGGGGCTGTTTGGGATGTGGGGCCTCTTTAACCAGGCAAGGTGGGGAAAAGAGCACTCAGGAGGGAAGCTGAGCAGCAAACAGCCTGGTTTTGTCTGCGTCTGTGCCCCTTGGATTCAGGCAGGCATGGGTTACAAGGCCATCCCGATGAAGAAATTACGAATATTTTTAAAACAAACAGTCTCATCCCCACCTCCTCCTGTTCCCAAACTTTGAAAAGCTTTTCCTGTCTGAGCTGTCCCTGAAACAGCGGCACTTGCCAGGGGTTGAGGCATAAATCAGCACTGGAGCTGTTTTCTTCAGGACTTGTCTGAGCAAGAGCAGGTAAAACGGTGAGGTGGGGGAGGAGGTGAGAGGGAGAATCTCCTTTTGGGCGAGTTCTGTTCGAGAAGCTTTTATGAAAGGGCTGCCTTTATCTGGGTGAGGGCAGCAGGTTCCAAAATGATAAATATAGAAACGTTTGCTCGCTGCTGGACCTCGGTGATGCAACAGGATGAACTCACTTGAGCCGTGTTGGTTTTGTGGAGGGCTACTTGGCAAATCGGGAGCTCAGAAAAGGAGGGGAAACTCCAAATGCAGGAGTTCTCAGGTGCTTCCCCACCCCTTGGGAGGTAGAGCAGGTCATCTCGATGCTGGTGGGAAGGTGGTTTGTGTCATTTGTTAGGACAGGGGCTGTAAACAGTTTACAAGGGGGGAAATCTGGAGTGGGAGGTTTGTTTAGGATGCTTGGTTTGTTTAGCACTTCCCAAACTGCAGTGAAGGGGTGAGCCAGGAAGTGATGCATCAGTTAACCCCACACTCGTGTCCTCTGTGCTCCACCAGGCATTCTGTTACCTGTGCAGCAGAGGGACATCAGGGCTTCCTAAATCTCCCTTCAGCCTCTTTCCTTCTTAACCCTGTTGGTGATTCTTATTTTCAGGCTGTTCTCCGGCCACACCTATCTTCGGAAAAACAAAACAAAACAAAACAAACAAACCAATCTGGCAAAGCATTTGAGCTGCCCCGCCGAAGCCACTTTCAAACCCCGCAGCAAGGCTTTCTTTCCACCCCAAAGCTTATTTTGCAACCCGCGGTCGGGCCACGCCATGGCAACGTTTGTCAGCGAGAAGCTCAGCCGGCTCTTCATTAACGTGAGGCAGGTCCCTCAGCTGCTGGGGCCCCTCTCTCCCTCCACCGTCAGCAGCTCCGAGGTGCCCAAGGTCTTCTGGAAGCCCTACATCCACACCGGCTACCGGCCCGTCCAGCAGACCTGGCGCTACTACTTCTCCACCCTCTTCCAGCAGCACAACGAGGCCATCAACGTCTGGACCCACCTGGTGGCAGCGCCGATCCTGCTGCTGCGCTTCCAGCGGCTCTCGCAGCGCGTGGACTTCGGGCAGGACCTGCACGCCCAGCCCCTCCTCATCATCCTCGCGGCCTCCATCACCTACCTGACGTTCAGCAGCCTCGCCCACCTCCTGCAGGCCAAGTCCGAGTTCTGGCACTACAGCTTCTTCTTCATGGACTACGTGGGGGTTGCGGTTTACCAGTACGGCAGCGCCCTGGGGCACTACTACTACGCCATCGAGCCGAGCTGGCACGAGAGGGTGCGGGGGTTTTACATGCCGGCGGCCGCGCTCCTGGCCTGGCTGTCCTGCGCTGGCTCCTGCTACGCCAAGTACCGCTACCACCAGTCCGCCCGGCTGCTGGGCCGGCTGTGCCAGGAGCTGCCCTCGGGCCTGGCCTACCTGCTGGACATCAGCCCCGTGGTCCATCGCATCTGCACCGCGCCGCCCTCGGCGCGCCCGGACCCGGCCCTGCTCTACCACAAGTGCCAGGTGCTGTTTTTCCTCGTCGGTGCCTTTTTCTTCTCGCAGCCTTACCCCGAGAAGTGGTTCCCAGGCAAGTGCCACTTCTTCGGGCAGAGCCATCAGATCTTCCACGTGTGCCTGGTGCTCTGCACGCTGGCGCAGATCGAGGCCGTGGTGCTGGACTACGAGTCCAGGCGGCACATTTATTCGGCTCTCCAGGGCGACCTGGCACACAACTTCTCTGCCCTGTGCCTCTTCACTGTGACCTGCTCTGTCCTCACAGCTGCTTACATGGCCCGGAAGGTGAAGAACAAGCTGGGCTTCAAGGAAGAGTAAAAGCCCTGAGGTGAGCTCAGCCCGTGCTGGATGAATCCCGCCCCAAACCTTGAGAAGAGGAATGAGATGCTTCGTGAACTGTTACTCAGCAAGTGCTTTCTATAGGAAGGGAAAGTAGAAGCTGCTTTTTTATGCTGCCTTTTTTTTTTTTTTTTTTTTAAATTCAGAAATAGTTCCAGCTTGCTCTTAAGAATGGTGCGTGGGTTTAATTCACCTCTGAATAAAGGGTTGGGACAAAGTGTTTCGGTGCTGCAGCCCTGTGCCCCGGCAGTGGTGGGCTGGGGAAGGCTCCTGGAAGCTGCCAGGTCTCACAGCACGAGGTAAGGAGCTGCCCTCTGGCCCCCGTTAGAACCTAACCCATGGAAACAGACCGAGGTGAGACTGTTTAAACCACAAAGAAGGGTGGCAAACTTAACTCAGCGTCATTTCAGGCCTCTCCTGTGAGCTCAGGGAGCCGTTCAGAGCTGCCCGTGCAGTGGCAGGGCCGTGTCCCTCAGTGGCGAGAGCAGGACGGGCACAGCCTGTCCCTGGAAGTGCAGCGGGAGGAGAGGGTTGGATGTGATGGGACTGAGCCCCAGGGCCGGGACGGGAACCTCAAGGGCTGGATCAGGCCCCGGGAACAGGGGAACACCCCCTGAACAGCACACAGGGGAAAAGCACAGGGGGGAAAAGACACGGTGAGAGGGCTGGGGCTGTGCACCAACAGCCGGGCTGGGGCGGGAGGGGCAGGGAAACGCAGCCCCGCGCTGTGTGTTGTGCTGCTCCGCTCCGGCGTGCGCAGCACCGCAGTTTCCAGGCCCTTCGTGCCGAGGAGCACCGGCCAGCCCCGCTCTGATACCCGCGGGTCGATCCCGGCCCGTGAGGGACCCGCTCCCCCGGCCCGGCTCTGCTGCCGTGAGGGGCCATGGCGGTGCCGCCGCCTTATATAGGGGTGGGCGGGACCGGTTGCACTCGTGGCCCCGCCCCTCCGCTCCCATTGGTCCGTCCGCTGCCGGCGGTGGCGCGCGGGGCCCGTTGGGCGGGAACCGGGACCGGGAACCGGCGGGAATTGGGATTTGGGATTTGGGATCCAGGGGGATTTGGGATCCACCGGGATTTGGGAACCAGCGGGATTTGGGAACCGGCGGGAATTGGGATTTGGGATCCACCGGGATTTGGGAACCACCGCGAGCGGTACCGGGATGAGGCGCCGTCGCGGGGGCCCCGCGGCCCAGGCCGAGGCGTGCGGGGTGTGGCTGGACACGGCCGAGCTGAAGCGCAGACCGGCCCCGGTAAGAGCCGATGGAAGGCACCGGGGATGGCTCGGGAGGTGTGAGGGGTTGGGTGAGCCCGCAGAGTGGAAGAGTTGAAGTGTTTCACTTCGTTTAATAGTGGTACTCCATCATCTGGGATTCGTTTGGGGGTCTGGGGCATCCCTGTGGTGAGACTGCGGGAGCCGGGCCTGGTCGGTCTGGAGAAGGGAAGGTCGGGAGGGGATCCATCAATCCTTGCGAATATCTCACCAATCCATACGAATATCTCACCGACCCACACAAACACCCATCAATCCGTACAAATATCTCCAAGGGGTGTAGAGGATGGTGCCAGACTCTCCTCCCTGGTGCCCAGTGCCAGGCCATAAACCAAAACACAACAAGTTCCACCTCAACATGAGGAAGAACTTCTTTCCAGGTGGGTGGCAGAGCACTGGAATAGCTGCCCAGGGAGGGCGTGGAGTCTCCCTCTCTGCAGACATTCCAGACTCACCTGGTTCCTTTGTCACCTGCCCCAGGTGACCCTGCCTTGGGCAGAGGTCCCTTCCAACCCCAGCAATTCTGTGATTTCCAACCCAAATGATTCTGTGTTGCTGTTTAACGGAGGTGGGAGCTACGGAAGAAGGTGGAATTGTTTTTATATATATTCATATATTCACTTTGCCTTGTTTCTTTTCCCCCCCCAGCCTCTCACAGCCAAGCTAAAAGCACCCACCCGAATTTTGGAGAGGAAACCCACCTGGGTGGTGTTCACACAGAGCAGAGCCCCCCAAACCCACACCAAGCAAACCACCATCCCCACCTTCTTCAGCTCCCACGCAGGTAAGGAGGGGAGGCAGTTCCAGGTGTTACAGCAAACCCATCTCCCTGTGTCTCCTGGCAGCTTTGCTGGGCAGGAAGGTGCATTTTCCAGTGTGGAGAGTAAAGGTTTGAACTCCCAGAAAGGGTTTTATTGTGAGGGTTAATCCAAATGCAGGTATTTAAGCTAATTAGGCTAGCTCACAACCTCTGTGCTTTTGAGGCTGTTTTTTTTTTTGTGCTCTGGAAAACCAGAAATGGGATTTTCCAGGGATCTCGAGTTCAACAGCTATGGAGAGGAATGGAACAGATGCAGAAAGCAGCAGAGCAGGGCTCTGGAGCTGTTTGTGTGTTGTGAGTTATGTAAGAGTTGGTTCATCAGCATTAAACTGGTTTAGGAATAAGCAGACGAGAGGAGGCATTACAGAAATTGCACAGTTTGACAGAACTTCTGTGTTGTGACAGGGGCATTGATGGTTTTTGCTTTGGGGTTGTCATTCCTACTCCTCCTGAACATGGTTTGTGCTTCCCTCTTTTTTCCCCATTTGATTCCCCCGATTGATTTAATTCACTTACTCCCTGGGCATGTCTGAATGTTCATCCAGAGTTCTGGAGGATTTAGGGTGCTGGAAGATTTCATTCTTTCAGCTTATCCTGAACTGAGGGGGTAGCTGGTTTATATTGAGAACTTGTATTGGGTTTTATGTTCAGTGGTTTCAGAGGCAAATGTGGGACTGGATGGCACGGGGGCAGAATTTCACTGGGCAGTTTTGTGGGGTTTTTTAGTGACTCTTGAGCTGCTGCTGCTGCTTTTAAAGGGAATGTTAGAGGTGACCTGCTTGGAAAGCTGAAAGGTGGAGGAGCTGGAGATGCAGCTCTTGCCCTCACTGGAGGGACTCTGACTGATGTGAACCACCCCAGAGCTTTGGGTGCTGCTCCAGCTCAGCCTCTGCAGCACAAATAGATTGTTGTGAGGTGGTGGCAGCACTGGGACAACCCTTAGGGATACACAAAGGAGGAGAGCAAAGTGACAGGTCTGAGTGGAGGAACGTGAGTAGTGGCTAATCCTGAGCAATGTGTCTGCCAGCTCTGGCTTTAACCAATTTTTGTGTTGCTTTCAGATGGAAAAGACAAAGAAAACTCCAGGCCGTCTCCTTTCACCCCAGATAAAGACAGTAAAGACACAGGTGTCTCTCTTCTGGCCTCCAGCCCTGTGAAGATCTTGGCCTTGCCACGGATGGAGGCAGCCCAGGATCAACCCTTTGGATGCGAGGAGGGGGTGCAGGTCACATCCCAGGGCTGGGCAGACTCCTCAGAGCTACAGGTGGAGTCCCAGAGCCAGGGCAAGGCCTCCTGTGGGGCAGGAGGGGACTCCTGGTGCTTCAGCTCCACCCAGGACTCGGAGGGCCCCCGGATCGTCACTCCCAGGAACAAATCCCGGTTATTTGCTGGAGAAACCGTTCCAGGGAGCAGCAGCAGCGTCACATCAGGCTGGGGGGTAACCAAGCAGAAGGGCCAGGAGTTGAAGGCTGGACTCAATTTCCAACCAGGGCTCGGTGCAAAGCAGAGTAAGAAACCACAGCAAAGGAGTAGTGTTAATTCTTTAACTGATTCTGCTGAGACTGAGAATATAAACCCTCTGCCAGGAGCCAGGCCCTGGGCTCCTGGGGGGGTTTGTTCATCTCCACAGAGCCCAGCGAGAGCTCAGCCCCTGACAGAGCGTGGCCAGAGCACAGCAGGGGCTGGGGTGGGCTGGGACAGCCCCTGCAGGGAGCTCTTCTCCCAGGACTCGGAGGGGAACAGGGTCATTGCTCATGGCTGCAGGGACAGGGGCATTTCCCACGGGGACAGTTCCAGCTGTGCTGCCTCGAGCCAGCCCTCGGGGCAGCAGCTGGAGCTGTGCCCCGAGTTACTGTTCACACAGGATTCTGAAGGGAACAGGGTGATTAAACACTGGTAAGGGACCTCAGGGTCCTGTGTGGCCTCTTGTGCAGCAGGAAAGTGTGTGGGGGGTGGGGGGTGTGTAAGGAAGTTGTCAGAATTTGGGAAGTGAACCTGCTGTGTCTGTGTGCAGGGTGTAACCAGCAGCCACAGGCAGCACCTCTTTGTGCTTTGTTTTGCTTTAACACAAATAAAACGTTGGAGTTTATTTTATAAGGGGTTTGACTGTTTCACTCAGGATTACAGCCCACACTACTGCCCTGTGCTCCTGTCCAGCCTGCACATGGAGCACGTTCCCAGGGACTGGGACTCCTGGGTGCAGCTCCATCTTCTCCACAGGCAGGTGTATCCCCACCAAATCCTTGGGCAGAGGAGCCTGATGGGACAGGGAGAAGCATCCCAGTGTTCAGGGGCTCTTGGGGTGCATCCAGGAGGGGAGGAGCTGCCTCAACTCCCTGTAAAACTGATTAAGCCTTCAATGCTCTGCCATAAAAGCCTCCTCTCCTTTTTTAAGGTGGGGATGATGATTTTTTTAAGGCCCAGGGGCCCTTGATTGCAAAAATTAAGGTGGATTAAGAAAAAAATCCTTGCCCCCTGAGCATGTTCAGCTGCAGCAGCCGAAATTCCACCCCCCCCCCAAACACGAGCGCATTAAATCACCTCAGGGACCATCACTGTCTTATTAAGGCTCCATTTTATATAAAGGAAAAAAAAATCATACTTTAAATACAGCCATGAGGAACATTGCAGCAAAGGTGGAGCTGAAGGAGAACTCTTCAGTGGGTGAGAGCTGCAGCCACAGCCAAAGCCAAACTCCTCCCCTGCTCTTGGAGGGGTGCTCGGCCCTTTGCATCGGTGCACCAATAAATAGACCTTCTGAATGCTAAATAAAATACAGGTTTGGAATACAAGGACTAGTAATGAAACACTGAATTACTGGCAAGAAATTAAGGCCATTCTGTCATGCAACTGTGGGCTAATCTGTGAGTGAAATACCCAGGGCACACTAAATCCACTCAGACCCCACCGAGGGGTCCTATCACTGGGAAAAAACGTCTTTTACCACTCTGATCCAACAGCCTGGAGACCTGGAAGCATTAATGAGCTTATTCTCAGCAGCTCTGTACCACACTCAGAACAAAGGACTGGAGGCTTTGTCCCGTTTGGACTGGAAGAGGAAACCAGTTCTATCGTAACGAGGTTGTTGGAGGTTAATGCTTAATTGGAACCTAAGGAGAAGTGTAGGTAAGAAAGAACCTCATCCAGCAGCACTCCAGGAGATCCTTATCAATAATCAACATCAAAACACAGGTGGAAAAGAATTTCCATCTTCTTAAAAAGGTTTTTTGTTTGTTTTTGTTTTGTTTTGTTTATTCCTTAAATATAACAATACATGGAAAACACATCAAATCCGTAGGGTCTTTCCTAAGTGTCCAGTGTCCAGAAACCAGGTCTAATTAATAAAAGAGGCAAAAGGCTCAATCCTCAGGAAGGCAGCTACTGTGGAGAAAAATTCTGGGAGCATTAACACTTTTGCTTACAGAGCTGAATGACAGTAACATCATTTCTCCTTCAGGGCCAGGTCTTCATCCTTCAGGGCAAATTTCCTTCTCAGGACTTCTGCAATGAGAACAGCCGGGTCTTCCTCCTTCATGGAAGGTCGGTTTCTACATGGGAGACAAAAATCACTGTGCATTAGTACAGGCAAGGTCCAAAATTAATGATTAACAGCTCTGGGCAGAGTCTTCCAAGTGGGTTTTTTTCCTGCAGCCTTTACCATCAGCTGTTGTCACAAGTGAAGGAGGGTGCAAGAACAACATCACAAAGCAACAAAAAGCCAAGAAACAAAATTCAGCCCTTTCATGTCGGCTTAGAGAACCTGGAGCCCGCCTTGTGGCTCAAGGGGGGACCCTGAAAAATCCCACCATCAAAGCTCTGGATAAATTTTTATTCAACTGTGCTAATAACGAGTAAGCAACCCAAAACTTCATCAATTATTTACAGCCTACATCCCCTCAGCACAGATCAGCAAGCAGTGAGGTGTTGGAGGTGAACTCCTGGGAGTATATATATTTTTTTCATGAATTCTGCCACACAGTGGATATATTATTTCCTATCTAAACATGGGTGATTACA